GAACTCCGCAGTCTGTGCACGTCGGTGGTGATGCTGTTCAGATCCCAAAGGGCCAGTGGACAATAAACTACAAAGAGAGAAACCAGAGGACTGCTCTTGAGTAGCCGTTAGTTACTGCAAAAACTGTATCTGCGTGCTCAGTGCTCCCCCTTTGCCTTGGTTTGGTGTTATGCATTATCCCCTCTGGCACCTGGGACGGACGTTCCATTGCAACTAGAAACCTGGATGCACAGGGACTATCCTGTCTCAGGGATAGAAGAAAGGAGGGAGATTTTTCCAGTCTTTGGAATGCAGAAAGCAGATGTGAAGCTATTTCTGTGAGTGGCTGGACTGTCGTTCACCTCCTATAGAAAAGCAGTGGCAGGGCCATTTCTGCTAAATCTCTAAAGAGATCCCCTGAAGTGATGTGTTGAAGCACCACTGGTACAAAGCTCCTTCACTTTCACACCACCTCCACTTTAATTGTGGAAATTGAATTGCATTGAGAATAGGAGTCAGCACACATGGAGGAGAATATGTTGGAGCAGTGTTTTAGGGTCCCTCGTTTCTCTTGCATAGCTCCATGCTTTTGGGTGCTGCAGAGTAAGCAGCAAAGCACAGGTAAACTGCTGGCAGCTGAGACAGGCACAGCGTGATTGTACCGAGTGCTTCAGCAAAAGCCCTTCAGGGCAGCATGAAGGCATGTCCCAGAGGGGATCCTGCCTTCAGCGGACATTTTAAAAGATGTTTTATGCATTTCCAGCTTAAGAAAGTATGAGGCCTGAGCCTCGTCTGCCCCCCGCTCACCCCGGTTTCCACATCCTTGGCATCTCTGTGGTGAGTAACCACATGTGAAAGCCAGAGCCAGTCACTGTCACAAGTAGCACCCAGTGGGAAAAGAGCAGCAAAAGCAGATAACCAGTGCTGCGTGAAACAAAAATGTCTGCATCATTCACATGGTCTCTGAGTCAGTGTGTGCTTTCTCAGCAGCCTGCTCTCCAGCTAACAACTTCTAAACACGGCCTTCTCGATTATAACTTTCCACTGTTTCCACTGCCATTAGTCAACAGTGTTTTGTTTGTTGAAGGTACTAAGGGAATGTCGGCATCCATTAGTCCAACTCTTTCCTCACTGCTTACTAGACCTCTTCATACACTCATTCTATTTGTAGAGTGGCTCCAGCCAAGCCGGTGATGTCCAGGTGCCTGTTTTGCACCGAAGCCCTGGAAAAGGAACAGCCCCAGAAGAATAAAGTTGACCAGCCTGACAAAGGAGAGAGGGCAAAGGCTGTAGCCTACAGGTCCCATGGTGCCGTAGTGGTATGGCTTGCAGGAGGGGAAACAGTTTGCATGATCTTTTCTTTTGAAACAGGTAGGGATTAGGTGGTTTAAAACGGATGAAGAGAAATAGGTGTGAGAAAGGGCAAGAGCAGAATGTAATTATCTGTGTGGCCTTGGGATGAAGGGGAAGCAGTCAGTCATCAGATGGGCAAGAGCATTTAAAGCCCTGCCACCCCGAGCCCCTACAGGTTCCTGCTCGGTGTTTCTTTTCCTGTTCTCCCAGTTCCACACATGGGTGTCCCCCAGCATCCAGTGCTCAGGCTGCTGGGGAAGGAGCTCTGGGCTGCACAAACCTTCTCTCCAAGGAGGGCATCCCAAATCTCATAAGGTACGAAGGCAACGTGTGTTAACATGTGGTTTGGGAGAGCAATGTTTGACCTTTCCCAATACTGTTATGTTAGGGAGGATGTTGGTGTGCTGTCCCTCCCATGTGTGCCTTCCCACTGCTACAAACGGGAATCCTGAGTTTGGGATTATTCCAGGGTGCAGCTTTCCACATCCACACCAACACCAACTCACTGTGTGCACTCTGGAGTCTGACTTGCATGGTGTGACTATTGCGACGCAATTCTGTTGCAGAGAAGGTGAGACAGAAGAAAACCAGTGTTAACTTCTGCTCTCTATGAAATGCAAAGAATGCAGAGGTTTCTCCACTTCTTTCTTCTCTCCCCCCCCCCCCACCCACACAAC